TTGTTGTTGTTTCACTGCCTTATCTTTCGAACTTTGCAATTGTTTGCTTGAGAATATATTGCTTTTTTGCTTCAGTTTTCATGTCAATTTCTATTCGATTGCCTTATTTGTACGTATTATTTCAACATAATATCGCCGCTTAAATGAATTATCTTGTGTAACATTCACTGTTGATAATGTTCATTTGCACAGGTTCATTGCTTAGCATTCGATTGGAATAGTGTAAATGGTTTGAAATCGAACCAGACATCGGATTCAAATGGATGACATATGTTGAATATTTTCTTAAATGTTGTTTTGTTGCATAATTGTATGGCTTAATAAAATTCCATGGCATAACATCATCATTCTTCACATAACACTACGATATCACATCATTGTGATCAGTCATATAAATGGTGTCTTATTATACGAAAACGAGTGGTTTCAGAGTCGAATTTAATATGATTAATTCAACACAACACATTCCATCAAAAGAGTTCGTAAAGATCACTCCATGAATCATAAAAAACACCAATTAGACTGGGAATTGTTGCAAAATACAGACACTGAAAATGATGTTCCAAAAACCTTCTACTTTCTAAATTTCTGATATTCTAATTGATGTTTGCTAAATTTGGTTGTTTCATTCTCTTTGGAAAAAAGAATCCGAATTATTTGCGGCAGTCACAAATTCTCAATGAATACGCAAATTTTCATTCAAAATCGAGTTCGCCTATAGGCAAAAAATGCAACTGACCACTTAAAATCAGGTAATCGCATTGTCCTCTAAGCATTTGTTTAGTTTCTTAAGACCACTGGACGGTCGTCAGCACGTGAGCAGAATGGAGATGCCGACGCGTTTGCAGAATGTTTTACCGATGTATTCGGAGAGAGGAGCCGCGCGGATTGTTGCCGAGATGAAATCGAATCCGAGATCGGTTCCTCTCGTTGACGATGAACTTCCCCAATGGTACCGAGTTGGTAGAGTGGTCAGTGCATAATCCCTTATTCACTCAAAGATGTAAATCAAATAGTTTAAGTTGAAATTGGCTTTGTAAATTTCAATATTGTAATTTTGATCTTCAGATTGGTTTTTGATCAGTCAAAATCGATTTGTTCATTTATGGATAATGAGATGATGTGGTCACAAATTATTCGGATCATTGGGATATCGCATTCGATCCGATAGAATTGAATGACTGGATTGCAATGATGTTGGTGTGAAAACATTGACCAGCAACTAACTGCTCCCTATCGTTCAGATTCGTGGACGATTTTGGCGACCGTATACACTAACAGTTATTGGGCTGGAGTTGAGTTTGATGTGTGTTTC